TAGCCTCTACTCCTTGCTTTTCTCATTTAGAACACTCCTTACCCATAGGTGTTATTCTAAGCTATTATTTCATTTTCTCTGAGGTCTCTCCTAATTAAAAATTTTTCTTTTTAATTAGGTCTGTGGGTAAACATACAACTTTTTAAGTAAAAATGACCTTTTTTTTTAAATTTTTTTTAATGTTTTATTTATTTCTAGGAGAGAGAGAGACAGCGTGAGCAGGGGAGGGTCAGAGAGAGAGGGAGTCACAGACTGAAACAGGCTCCAGGCTCTGAGCTGGCAGTCAGCACAGAGCCTGACGCGGGGCCCGAACCCACGAACCGCGAGATCATGACCTAAGCGAAAGTCGGACGCTTAACCGACTAAGCCACCCAGGCGCCCCTAAGTAAAAATGACCTTTTTTAAAACCCTTCTCCTAAGTCTGTTTAAACTCACATCTTCAGCCCTCTGAGAATTAAAATCACTTGTTTCCTTGAGATTCCCCCCAATGCCAGTCCTCGAGGCAGGAGCACACCCTCTTTCTTGAGGCCAGGGGGCTGCCAGCGCTCATCACCATCCCACTTCCCACAGCCACTTGGCGTCATGTCTTATGACCAAATCTTCTCCCTGCCCTCAAAGACCTTTGGGAAAAGTGAATCTTACTCTACAGAATTGGGAACATGCAAAAAAAAAAAAAAATGTAATTTGGGGTCAGAAATATTTCTTTTTTGGGGCACCTGGGTGGCTCAGTGCGTTGAGCGTCTAACTTCAGCTCAGGTCATGATCTCACAGTCTGTGGGTTTGAGCCCCGTGTCAGGGTCTGTGCTGACAACTCAGAGCCTGGAGCCTGCTTCGGATTCTGTGTCTCCCTCTCTCTCTGACACTCCCCCATATGTGTCCTGTCTCTGTCTCTCAACAATAAATAAACATTAAAAAAATTTTTTAAAGAAATATTTCTTTTCTCATGTAGCTAATCCCCCTCAACGAATGGAACAAAACTTTGTCATATCTTGTCACTGAAAGAATGTTTTATGGGTTTTTGTTGTTGTTGTTGTTGTTTAGAAATAGGTCCCTCTATGGTATCTGCTAGATCACATGCTCTTCTGGTTAGCTCATCTTGGTTAATGGTCGTAGGACATCCAAAGGGTGGGTTTTGTGTTTAAGACGAGGAAGGCTTCCGTTGGCAGGGCCCTGGGGGTCAGGGATGACATGTGGCCACCCGTGCCCTGTCTCACTTGTGCTCCAGCCAGTCCTCTTGGGAGAAGGTGGAGCTGGCTGCCCCCTGCTTTTGATTGATTCTCAGTTGTTTGTAATTTTCTCACAAAATAAATACTCTGAGGCTATAATTTCTCATTGGTCTCAACCCCAGAAATATATTCTGTTGTTGTTGTTTTTGGAAAGTTTCAGAAACGTCTGCTTGGTGGAGATTATTTCAGTGGGAACCTGTATGTCAACAGTTAAATTTCTCAGATACCTTTTCTTTTTCGTGTCCAAATAACCCTTAAAAAGAGCAAGTACCTAGGCCTCAATCAGCAATTCTTGTCAAGAATTTGTTTTCCCTTTCCTCTGCTTCTGATTTTTCCCCTTTTTCTGAGAAAATGCATAGAAAATGAGAAGGATCTAGACCTAGTTTGCCAAGAAAAATAATAGGCCTTACTGTTGCCTTCAACCAACTTTGAAATTGTACCTTGTTCATTTCACAGTGGGACAGAGCTACACTGCAGTTAGGTATTCCAAGTAAGCCTTAGTTGCCTTTTATCTTTATCATCACCACAAAATTCTGAGAAACTTAGGTCTCTGGAATTATCTTTCTAGACCAAGCTCACTAGGTAACTTGGTCCAGGAAGCGACTCAGTTTTCCCAGCTGCTAAATATATGCATCACAGTTGCAGTGATCCCTGCTTCCCTACTGGTGTCAGAGTTCTGCTTTTTGTGAATGAGATTCTATGTGACCTTTGGGGTCCATAAGTGGTATCTGCTTACAGCTCCATCGTGGGGATTAAGGAGTTAACTCCTTTCTCCCTCTTGAGATACCTGCATCTTCTCACTCCCTCCCCCTGCTCCAATCCATTCTTTCTCCTGGTTGTTTTAAAAGCAGGATGGTGGCCAGTGGCCGACAGCAAAAGTGGGGTCTGTTTCTATTTTGAATCCTATAAATTACCAAGGGTGCAGAAGTAACAGTAATTGTTTGTCTGGTCCTCGTTAAGCAGGAGGGGGTCTGGGCTGAATTTCCTCAGTAAAACCTTTGTCGACTTTACAACCCAAACACCTCTGGAGCCCCTCTGTGCTCAGGTAAGAAACAATCACCCCCCTACAGTCCTCTTTGTCTGCTTGTCTTCTCTTTGCCCTTTATTGCTTTGTATTTATATCCTTCCTTTCTTGGGGGCAGGGATGCAACAGGTGTGAACAATCTTCTGAAGGAGTTGAGGAAACTGGAACACATCAGGATCAAGTTCCCTATAGTCCTCTACTTGGTAATTCATGCAGTGTTCTAGACACATGCTACTTCGTTGGGAGAAAATAGAGAATTAAAACCAGTAGCTGGAAAATTTAAAGGACACCAAAAGCTTGCTTTTTAGTATTAGTTTATAAATCTATTAATGCAGTTTTCCTCTGGAAATCACTGTTAAAATCCCTCCCCATTCTACATCACACTTCTTCCAACTCTGTCTGCTAAGCACCCACCAGGTGCAGAGCATGGATAGAAAGAATGTGAAAAGGCTCCTATTGTGGTTAAAAGTACAGAGCTTTGAAAAGAGCCCAACCTGGGTTTCAGTCCAGGTCTCTGGTTCTGGGAACTTGGGCAACTTACTTGGTTCCTGGACTCAACTTCCTCACCTGTGAAATGGAGGGTAACAATCCCCACCTTGTAGAACTTGTATGAAGATTGAAAGAGGACCTTGTGCAAAGAGCTCATGCGCCACTGCTCCCCCCACTGCTGCCCCACAGCCATACTCACCCCTTGCCACTTTTTCCTTAATTGCACTTTGCTGATAACATAACTTAGTGGGTTGTCTGAAAAAGAGTAATCTTTTGTGTCTTCTCTCTACACACAAGATTATTTTAACTTGACAGGAAAACCTTTTGAAAAACTTCCTTAAAAATTTTCTTTCAAACCTCCTTTAGAAAATGCCCCCTTGACCTTTCCAGAGCAATGGAGGAGTCTCGGAGGCCCTTTGACGTTCCAAGACATGAAGCAGAGGCAGGGATTAAAAATCCAGGGAAAAGAGGGGCGCCTGGGTGGCTTAGTCGGTTAAGCGTCCGACTTTCGCTTAGGTCATGATCTCGCGGTTCGTGGGTTCGAGCCCCGCGTCGGGCTCTGTGCTGACTGCCAGCTCAGAGCCTGGAGCCTATTTCAGAGTCTGTATCTCCCTCTCTCTCTGACCCTCCCCTGCTCACACTGTCTTTCTCTCTCTCTCTCCTAGAAATAAATAAAAATATTAAAAAAAAAATCCAGGGAAAAGAACTCTGTCTTGGAAAACATTCTGGATGTCAGTGTGGGGCTGCGGCCCAGATCTGATTTGGAGGGGTGCTTGTTGGACAGAGCAAGGGTGACCCTCCTAACTTAGCCAGGTGATAAAACCAAAGGAGCTTAGAGAAGGGAAAGGTTGGGCAAATCCCAAGCACTTCCTGGAACAGAGCATGAGTCTTGAAGCCCAGCCTTCCATCTGCATGTTGGGAGTGATAGGGTTGGAAGGCTGAAGATGAGCTCTTACAACAGACTATATAGGTGGCCAGAACTCCAGAGACTGGTAGGCACAATATTTCTCTCAACTGGGCAGCTTAGCTAGTGATCTGAACACAGATCACTTTCCTGGAAATATACCATATATATTGGCACATGCGCAGGGTTCAGGAAGATACATCCACTGTCTAGATCATTGACATGTTGCCTTTGATGTTATCTGAAGTTCATTCTAATGTCTGTCTGCCTAATAAGGATGTTGGCCTTGTTGGCCTAATGTTCTGTAAGGACAACAGTTCTGTAATTACAACAACAATAGATGCGACTCTTGATTTAAGCCATGACAGAGGTATGTGTTAGAATGGACACTTGCCTCCATGTAATTTGGTGAGTCTTTTAGGGACCGTAGCTTAAGGACGGAGGCATAAGGAAATACTGCTGTGGAAGACGCAGAGTTAAAGCTCCAGGCAGGCAGTAAGAGGGTGGCTGAGAGCTGAGATGCATCATTGAGTAGTTGGAGGTACAGTGTAGACTAGAGCCTCAAAGTGACATTGTTCTGAGGGTGGAGTTGCAACACAGACAATGGTCAAAAGTACAGATTTTGTGGAGATGGAAAGCACTAGGATTCTAGCACCCAGGGGCAGAGAGAATGTGAGGGGCCTGGTGACATGTGACTTCTGTCTGTGTTTGTGTTTGGGGGAGTAGAGGTTACACACAAGCCTAAGGGAGGATAGGTCAATTCCAGGAATCGACAGAGTTGATAGGAATATGGGTGAAGAGCCAGGGGTGAACCAAAACAGGAGATCTTCCTGGAGTCCCTGAGATTTCAAGATTCATTAGTAACCTCCCCTAAATAAGGGGTTTGGCATGCATGACAGTGCTGTCTACAGGTCTTGTACCAGCAGCATGGCATGCCATGTGACCGTGGACATCCGGCTTCCTGCAAGCAAATGGTAAAGATCACGTCATCCTTTCCAGCATGTGTGTGAGGTGCTCACTGCCTGGAGCCCTGGACGCAGCTGCAGGTCCAGCCCCCTCTACTCCTGGCTCCCTGCCCTTGTTGCTGCAGGCACACTGGACGAGCCTTTAACTCTTGTACCACAATAAAATTCCCTTCTAACTCAAAGCGTCTAGTTAAAAGAAGCTTCTTTAAGATGAGAAGTGACATGACAGCATTCCTTGGTCTTCCAGCAGCCAGTCAGGTCAACAGTCTGAATGTTGCCAGCCTGTGTGACGGAGGTAGGGGGCAAGGGGACAAAACCCGGTGCTGTGGCTATCACAGTGGCATCCCGGGCAGCCTCACTCACCATAGCCATTTCTCTCTTTCTCACGACAGAGTGGTGCAGGGGATTGTGGGAGCCCTTTGAGTGACTCCAGTGGCTTATGGGACATTGGCTTGGACCCTTTGTGACACCGTGCTGCATGGGATGATGACGACTTGGAGAGGAAAAAGGCCCGAGGTCACCCTCACTTGCCTCCTTTTAGCCACAGCAGGCTGCTTTGCTGATTTGAGTGAGTGCTTTCCTTCCCTTTCTCAGCCTGCCTGTCTTAGAAGAATATTTGTCCCTCATGTCAAGTAGAAGTATTACACATTCAGTAGTAACCCTTTAAAAAGGCCTTCCTTTTCCTGGATTTCAAAGAACACTTCATTCCCACTGGCCTCAAGGGACAGACTCAGTAATACAAGATGACAAATCATCTTGGCAAGATCGTATCGGTTATATTTTAGTATTGTCATCATTTCAAATATATACCAGAGGAGAATGAGTAATAAGAACTGCCTTTTATTGAGCACTTATTATATGAGCCCACAGCAGGCAGTTTATGTGCATTATTTGTGAGCTTCACAACAACCTGTAAGGCAAGTAGTACTAGCCCTGTTTTATAGGCAAGAAATGGAGACACAAAAAGGCAAAAGTGACCTGGCTCGGAAGCCATGGCACTGGGATTTGGGCCCAGTTCCACCCAACTCCAGAGCCTATGCTCTTGCCTTTACACCATGCTGCCATGGCAGTCCACCTTTGAGAACAAGCACAGGTTGGGGACTAGACCTATGGACAGTAGAGTTCTCCAGAGAAAGACCAACCCCTCTGGGTTGCTGGGCTCTGAAAGGCTGCCTGGGGGCTGGGCTTCTAAAAAGATCGTGTTATTGGTTTCATGGAGGGTGTCTATTCATTGCCACGTCCCTGTTCTTCCTCCAGACCAGGTCCCTCAGGTCACTGTCCAGCCCTCTTCCACCGTCCAGAAGCTCGGAGGAACTGTGATCCTGGGCTGCGTAGTGGAGCCCCCGTGGATGAACGCCACATGGCGCCTGAACGGGAAGGAGCTGAACGGCTCGGATGATGCTCTGGGCATCCTCATCACCCGCGGGACCCTCGTCGTCACTGCCCTCAGCAACTACACCGTGGGACGGTACCAGTGTGTGGCCCGCATGCCTGCGGGAGCCGTGGCCAGCGTGCCGGCCACTGTGACGCTAGCCAGTGAGTGCTGTTCCTTTGCTCTCCTGCCACGGTGCCCTCTCTCTGGCTCTCTCCCATTCTCGCTCCCTCCCCCAGGTCATTCATACCCCTACTCGTGTCATTTGTCGTCCTATAAAAGAGGGCCTTACAATTTGAAATTTCAAACCAGAGAGTGGTAGCTGCCTAGCTGCACCGATGGTGGGGGACCATTGTGCCCTGGGGAAGCTGTGCTGAGTAGGGACAGTGTCTGCAGAGGGTGTCTAGAAAGAGGGGAACTCGATGTGTTAGAACTGTTTGTGCAGGCGAACTGGGCCGTGCAGTGCCTTTCTGCGTGGTTATCTGGGGTTGCTTGTGCCAGCCACCCCTGGTCCTCTGTCCCCCACACTCCATCCTCATGGCGGTTACAGTCAGCGCACATACACGGCTGTGTGTAGTCTGAGCAGAGCTGCCTGTCCCACACCAGACCTCCTGTCCTGGGGGAGACACAGTCCACATGCCTGGGATACAAATAGAAGAACACAACGAAAAGGAAACTGATGAAGGGTAAAGCGAACCGAAAAGAGGATGAGATTGGGGGGATGGTTTGGTCCAAGGGGGATGCGGGGAGAAGACTTTATACTCCTCTTAATATATAATTACCATGTGGGGATGTTATGGTACCCAGGTGCAAGGCACACATCCCCTGCTTTTCTACCCATTGTACATACGGGAGACCAGACTTAACTGACGAAATAAACCTCAGAAGGCTGCAGCCCCAGCACCCGTCCTTCTATGTGGAGTCTATGGCCAGCATATAATAAGAAGGACCCCTTCTTTCCTGGAGCCTGAAGTATGGGGAGTAGGGAAGCTTGTTGAGATGCTGGTGGTATTTGGATTAGAATGTTGAGAAGATATCCAGAGCTTGTTCCCTCCTGACCTAGCCGTGTCCCCTTGTCCCTGATAGCCTTGCTTTGGACTTCCATGTCACCATCATTGTCTTCCTCCTGAGTGAGTATGTTAGGGGTCATGCCAAAGCAGCAAACTTGTGAAATGCTCCTTAAAGTTCACTTGGGGTCCTTGGGAGGTGTGAGGCGTGAGGCCTGGGAGGAAAGTGGGGGGAGATGGGGAAGCAGAAAAGCAGGGGAGGAAAGACTGACACCCCCCCACCCCAACCCCCCCACCCCCCGCAACCCTCTGGTTCCCGGGTCTCTGGAGGGACTTCACTCCAGGAGAGAACAGAACAGAACCTCCTGGCATGCAATATTCCTGTTTTATTGGGAAGCTGTCAGGCAGCCTCACCCTTTTCTCAGAGAAGGGAGAAGGCGGGGAGGGTTCCTCATCTCTCTCCCCAGGGGTGCAGGCTGAGCCTGGCTGCATCTTGGAGCCTCCCAAGTGAGAGCTGTTTGTGTGGTAGCAGAAGGAGTGCCCATTGAATCTGAGCCCCAGGCCCCTGGGAAGCAGGCTTCATACTCTGTATGCTCCGGGAGGAAGGCAGACCCTCACTGTGCTTGTGGGTGCAAGGAGGGTGCTGGAGGGGTGCTAAGTGAGGGTAGCGGGCAGGGAGCGGTCCTCTCATCCTACAAGAAGGGCTGAGGTCAGAGCTACTCTTCCTACTATCATATCCTCTTTTTATATATTTAAATTATAATGAAAACTGCATTAGAGAAAGTACAGAATTCATAGGAGGTAACATTTCCCCTCAGCCCACCATCACCACACAACCACCATTACCATTTTGGAGTATGCCCTTCCAGACTTTATCCATACTCATACTTGCTTTGAATGGTTTATTGTTTAGTTTTTAGATTCTACCTATAAGTGAAACCACGAGTATTTGTCTCTGACTTACTTGACTTGGCATAATGGCATCCCCCTACCTTCACAGTGTTGTAATGATACTAGCGAATATAGTTTCTATCCTTATTCTCTCCCACTTGACATTGTGTGATTAGCATTTTTTTGTTGGCCATGTGACCAAATTTACTTGTTCTTTTGTATTGGATATGAAGCGCGTCCCATAAGGTATGCAGAGTGCACTAATAGGTTAACAGCCTGATGCATTTTTTCATATGGGTACACTGTGTGGCCATCACTCTAGAAGGTTTTCCCGTATCCCTTACTAGTTCATCTGTCTCCCCCAACCCCCATCAGAGCAGGATTGTGGTTTCTAATGGCTCTAGAACATCCTCTGAGGGGCTCTGTCATAGGTACTGAGCACTTTTTCTATTGCTGTGTAATTAAGTCACTTTCACTGGTTCCTTATTACAAGTAAGATGTGCCTTTCAGCAGTGTTCATGCCTTTAAAGGATAATCCTGCTCATCTACAAGGGTTGCTCATCTGCAAATGGTCAGCACGTGTCTGTGGAGACTCAGGAAACTCCATAACCATTCATTTGGCCTAATTAGGAGCCAGGCTGAATCTTTTATTTGGAGGAAGGGATAGTTGGAGAGTCGAAGATTTATGGTGGAGCCCTTCTTCTACTTCAAGGTGCATCTGTGTGAGGAGAGACCATTTTTAGCTTTTATTTGTAAAAAATTCCTGGCCACTTCTTTCTCTGGTGCTTGAAGGGATCTGCAGTTGGCAGTGAGCACAAAGGGGAGGGTTTGGGTGCAACCCAGAAGGCACAGTGAGAGAAGAGGAGGCTTGTGCAGAAGCCCAGCGAGTCTTGCTTGCAAGCCAAGAGCTGTTGGCTCGTCACTGAGACATGAATCAGAAGTGACATGTTTGGAGCTGACCAGAGGGCCGGAGAAGTGCTGGAGATGGTGAGAGCGGGCTTCGAGGGGCTGCGTCCTGCAGAACAGGGAGTCAGTGGGGTGAAACTGCAGCCTCCCAGGCTTGGAGGAGGCAGTGAAAAGGCGGGAGCAGCGGCAGAATGGGGTGCTGTCTTTGGGTTTGTGCCATGGGGGATTTGGCCCAGACTCGGCAGTTAGATTAAGTTTCCGAAAGCACATTCCTGAGCAGAATGGGGGCTGTGTTTTGCTCGTTGGCTTATGGAGGGAGGCTGAGCAGTGAAGGGATTACTGAGGCCTGGTCTGCATTTAGAGGGAAGGCCAGGCAGTGGCGTGCCCATGCACACGCACACACACCCGCCCACACTGGCCACTTAAGGCTTCCTTTCCCTCCGGCCTCTTCTGCATGCGTTCAGATGTTCATCCTCGGACAGAGCACTCGCTGTTTGGCCTACCTAGCAAGATGCCACCTCCCGTGTCTTGGTGAAGTGCTAGATCCCTGGGACCTTTCCATAGTGGGCGCTGGGGTCTGGCTTGAGGATTCAGGGGTGGAGAGGAGGCCTCCGACAGAACTTTCTTGGTACAGATCTCTTTTACTGCTGGAGGCTGGAGGTACTCTTGGACTTCACTCCTGGCTGTTGACCTCAGCCTCTGGTCTTCAGGTAAAGTGGAACCCACACGGGTAAATGCCATCTTCTTTCTGTGTGGTTGTGTCCATCCCACTTCTCCGCGCAGAATTTGTTTTCCTACGGAACCTAGACTTTGTGGTAAATCTCTCTTGTTGCTCATGCCGCCCTCAGACCACCTTGTCTAATCCTTGCTTTTTGAGATACTTTAGCTTTGATCTCCTTTCTTCCTTTCTCCTTTTTTATAAGCTTTACACAGGAGGTCAACCACGCTACGTGGCTCAAGTGCTTCCTCTCTCTGCACCTGAACCAACAGCAGACCTTGCCAGTGGACACCATATTCGTTTTTTCCGTACTCTGATTCCACCTTAGAATTGTTCTCAGTACAGCCTGGCAAGTAATCACAATTCATCAGAGGTGGCATACAGTGTGAAAGCTCCTTTCTATCCCTTACCTCTAATAATTCAAACTCTTACTTAATTCTTCGTTTGTAACTTTCTCCCATTTTTTTATCCTTTAATTCTGCCAATTATCCTATCACCCCTATATCCCATTTGTTGTTGGAAATACAACAGGTGGGAACTGGGTAATAATGCTATAGCTGGGAACTTGAATCCTCGAGCTAATGTGGAGTCTTAAGCTAATGCTGGCTTAATTGAGACCAATCTGTAACCCCTCTATAAGGCCTTTATGTGCTAAGACCCAGGCATATACCTAAATTATTCTCTCTCTGCCCTCAGACCTTAGAAGGTGAGGCTGCTGACTGGAAAGGAAGGCACTCCCCTTAGGCAGAAGTCTCTACAACTGACTCTGAGGAAAGCTCACAAGGTGACAGGGGCCCTTTATTACCATCATTTAATCCATGAATAAACTGAAGAGATAAACTAATATGGGGGGGGGTGAGCGGGGGAAGAAACTTAAAAAAAAAATCCCTTGGGCTTAAGTTTTAACTTTTCCCCTAGAAGTTGATGTGACTTTGGGCAAGTCACTAAATCGGTTGGATTACCACAACTATGAAGTGAACAGTGATAATTACAGCATCTGTCTCCTGGTTTTCTCATTTTTTGTTTTTTGGGTTTTGTTTTTGTTTTTGTTTTTTGTTTTTTGTGGATTGGCTACTATGAAAGTAATATGTTGAAGCATTTTATAAATTCCACCCCTTTGGTCGGCACACTTTTGTAGAGCTCCCTCCCGCAGGAGGCTCTGGGGCCCGTGTCGCACCCTGTGCTGCCCAGCTCCATTCTGGGAGCAACCTTCAGAAGACCAAGTCCAGGGAGTGGTGAAGCCTCCACTCCTAGTGAGACCCAAGCCAGAGGGTTGGGAAGAGAGAACTACCCCATCTCCCGAAGTTTCTTAGCTTTTTGTGTATACACGATGTCTAGCCCAGGTTCCTACCTCCTAGCTGCCTTGGAGAGTAGCCGTGGTGTCCTTGCACTGCGTGCTGTGCCCATAGCCCACAGACCTGCCCCATTTCGGCTTCGTCTGGCTCACCACTACTTGTTCTCCTAACCAGTCATTGGCTTGTGCTGGCCAGCAGGGCTGACCCTGGCCCTCGGCACAGTGATTCCACAAACAGAAGCCAGTAAGCCCTCCCCGCCTCTGATTCCCATCAGACAGTTCTTAGGATCTTCTAGGCTTGGACCCTGAACTAGAATAGGCTGTAAAGGACCACTGGTGACATGTCTT